TCCATTCATCCTCCAATGTGGCTTAATTAAAACTATTATGCAAAGAAGAGTAGGCCAAAATTCCTCCACAGCAATGTGAAAGACTCGTTGCCAGTTATCGCAAACGTTTAATTGCAGTTGTTGCTGCCAATTATTTATTTATTTTTTTAAACATTTTCAACTAAATGAAAACCTTGAGATATAACTTTACGTTGTTGTAGAACATTGTTGTTTATGATGCCTAATCATAAGCTTGTTCAGAAATGGTGCCAAAAACTTGATTATTAAAAACTAACTTTCTGTTAAATGTAATTTAAATAAATTAATATTCAAATATTTGTTCTTTATGAGCCGAAATATTCGAATACAGTATTTTTGAAAAATACCCATCCCTAGTTGATCATGTTGATACGGGGTAGAGACAGAAACCGTGAAAGAGACAGAGACCGGGACAGGGGGAGGCGCTACACAGGCCGCAGACAAACCCTGATACAGTAGGGTTTATAGGGTTAAGAAGTATTAGTATTCCAATTTTATTTCTGTAAAATTAAATTATTAATATTCTATGTTTTTATTATTATTTATATTTTTGTCACATGCCTCAAAAGTGACAACTGACCAAAAATTCTGTATCTTTTTTTTTTCTTCCCTAGGCCTGAAAATCCGGGTGGTAAAGAGACTGGAGCTGCCAAAGTCAGTAAGAATTTGATGTATCTCGAATTTGTTGCTAAAGACTCCGCCTCCCTCACCCCTGACAGGCTGATGCAGTTAACAATCAGGCTGGGGCTCCTGCCCATCTCTTGGCTCTTCAGAGAGCCCTTGTTCTCATTTTAGATGTGTTTTTGATTGGCTGTACACTTGGTGATCAGCTGCCCTCTGTTTGCAGAATGCAGTGGTCTTTTGAAGAGCAGCCATGTCTGAACTTACCCAACTCCCCTTTTTTTTTTTTTTAAGAGTGAGGCAGGGAGTGACCAACTCTATCTCTAAAGGACCCAGATATTTCTGTGTGCTCTTCTTTGGAACTGCTATAGATTTGTTTTCTATTTAAGGAAATGATACATGCACTTATTTATCTAAGTATTATCTGAATGATGGGTTGTTGATAGACACCTGTGAATGAACGCGAGCTGATGAAAGGGAAACTACAAAGGAATAAAGGTTCTTAGCAGGTTTGCTCAGCAGTTAAACAGCTCAGGTGTTGCTTCTGCACTGGGCTTGTTAAGACAGGCAGAGCAACTTCACTCACTCACACACACAAGCACACCTGCATAAGTCAATACAGATTGTCCTTGTGTGTAAAGGCTGAACAGCTTCAAGGCAGCACCTTCTGAAATGGCTACAGTAGCTGCCATTTCGTAACTGTTCCATGGAATTGACGTACCTGACCTGGTGAGAAGAAGAGTGGACATAGTGCTGTACTGTTCTAAATGGCTGCCTTCATTTGTCTGTTCACAATTTGCCATATACCTAAAATGCATCTGTACCGTAAACATCACAGGCATTTCTTTGAAACCGGACCATCTGCTGCTGTTCAACATGCAGCATATAAATTATCTGTATGTAGTTTAAAACACTCTCGTCCTTCTGCATGACATGACACAAGTTTAAGCTAGTAAAATAGATTCCTTGTTGTCAGCTGCTATTCTTTGCATAAACTTCCGTCCTACTTGTTCTAAAGTCATTGTGTCCATTGCAGCCCAAAATGACGCCACAAGAGAAGCTCAGACTCCGAATGCAGAAAGCTCTAAACAAGCAATGTGAGTTACTATTTCAGGCCTCCACAAACCATCTTCTTCTTCCATATTTATGCTAGGCATGCACAGTATATCGGTACCATATCAGTTAGCATTATTTATTTTTTAAATATTTATCAGTCGAAATTGGATATTTAATTTTTCATGCTCATTTCTGTCAGTTCTTATCTTTGACATCAACTATTGCTCAAATGATTTTATAACACTGATAAATGTAATCGTTAGCAAGTTTCAAAATAAAAAAATCTGTCTTTAATACATTACCATTCAAAAGTTTGGGGTCAGGTGTATATATATATATATAAGTAATTAACACTTAACATTTTTGTTTACTGTCACTTTTGAATCTTGAAAAAAAATGCATTACTGTTTCCACAAAAAAAATATATATTTTTTTTTCAACATTGATTGTTTCTTGAGCCACCAAATCAGCATGATTTTTAAAGGATCTTGTGACACTGAAGACTGGTAATGATCTCTTTTAAATTATCTTGTGGCTGCTCAGCTTTGCCATCACAGTAATAAATTACAATTTAAAACACACTACAATAGAAAACTGTTATTTTAAATCATTAATTTGACTAGTTTTTTTGTTTGTTTGATCTTTTATCTCTCGATACTGTCTGTTCCTGGCGTGTGTGAGCCCAGGACATGTATACATGCACATTTACATTTACATGTATACAGTCAGTGATCATATCAGATCACACTTCTGTTCAGTTTGGGGTTGGCGAGATGTTTTATATTTTTTTTTAAGAAATCTCTTATGCTTGTGCTGCCTTTATTTGACCAAAAATACAGTAAAACCGTAATACTGTGAAATATTATTGAATTAAAAACAATTGTTTTCTATAATAAAAATATTAAATATATTTCATTTTTTAAAATATAATTTATTCCTGTGGTAGCAAAGCTGAATTTTCAGCAGGCTGGAGTAATGGCTTCAGGAAATGGTCTCGAGTGTCACTTGAACCCTCAGAAATCATTTTAATGTTGATTTGTTGCTCAAGAAACATTATCAATAACTTCTGTGCATCTTAATATTTTTGTGGAAACTGATACTTTTTTCACATGATTCTTTGATGAATAGAAAATAAAAGTTCAAAAGAACAGCTTTTTAAATAGAAATGTAGTATTATAAAAGTCTTTAATGTCACTTTTGGTCATAAATAAAAGTATTAATTTCTTATTTTTACTGAATTCAAAGTTTTCAACAGTAGTGTACATCACTTTCCTAAGCCGTCTATGTTATGGAAAAGACAAGTAAAATAAAAGCCTGTTGACCCTGCCTCACCTTCTGCTTCCTTCCACCTTCATCAGCCAAGGCGGATAAGAAGGCAGCACAAGCCAAGATCCAGCAACAAGAACACAAGCGACAGGTAAAAGTGTGGGTGTACAGTTGGTATGTGGGTGGGTTGGTGGGTGGGGTGATTCCAGGTAGTTCTGAACTTTAACGCTCAAGTTTTTTTGTCCCCCTCCCATCACAGGAACGAGAAGGAGTACTTCGTGCAATGGCACGGAAAATACGCATGAAGTGAGTCTGAGCATGTATATACATGTGCAGCATGTTTGCGTTGTGGGAACTGTCCTCTCAGTTTGTAAAGGAGAGGATACAGTTTGGTCATTGTTTGGTCTTGTAGGGAGCGGGAACGGCGGGAAAAAGAGAGAGATGAATGGGAGAGGCTGTATGGTCGTCAGAGTCACTCGCCCTCCCCCAATGCCAAATACGGTGAGTTTATTTGGGCTGTAAGAGCCTCCCACGAAAGAATCCCGTCTTCGTATAGTGATAGTCATGTTGTTATCCACATTATGAAAGACTCATTCTGTGGATTGAATTGTGCTTTATTCTTGGTAGTGAAGGATTCTATAGATATACAGGGTGGTAACAATTAAGACATATGCAAAATCTAACTCATGAAGAAGATTCTAATCATAAATCTTGAACACCCCACAGGTCGAGACTACAGCTCATCTAGAAGGTATGCTGAAACCAGTCTGGACCAGCCACACTTGTCCATTTCATCTAAATGTACTGTTGTTCAGGCTCATTTCAACCATTTCTACTGTCTTCCTCAATAGGAGATCCCGCTCAAGATCACGGAGTCCTCATTACCGGTACTGAAGCTTCTGCTGATAAAACAGTCAGGCCACAAGATGTCAAACAGATGTTTTAGGAGTGAATGGTGACCATGATGGCAAGAGTTTACATAGAATTTTGGGGAAAACAATATCAATAAAATTAATTTCACTCACTTCAACTTCTCTTTTACATCTTCTAAAGGATGCAATGGAAACAACGTCATTTCTAAAATGTGAAAATTAACACCATCATGCTCTGAAACCACATTTCGCCTCCCATTCTTGATATTACACAGCAGGGTTGCCAGGAATGCTTTGAGCTGCTAGGATTCTAATAAGCTTTGCAGATTATTTTGAATCGATCTGTGTTGAATTTTGTGATATGATTGGGATGAACTGTATTCTTTCCCGTGTCTCTTACCCCCATTAAAGAGAGTTCACCTAAAAAAAAAAAACTTAATTCTGTCATTTACTCACCCTCGTGTTGTTCCAAACACATATGACTGACTTTCATGAACCACGGAAGAAAAAACAAGATCAGTGAGGGTCATTAAAAGACTTGTCGTTTTGAGGTTATCCGTCTCTTTAAACGGTGAATCTACCCATTTTACCTCATTGTATATAATACCTTCATTTGAGAGTGATGAAATTTCTTTCACAGAAAATGTAGATTCTAAATGGCATAATATTTTTCACTGGGCAATGTAAATATCTGGTGGTTTTTCTTGTAGTAAAAACAATCATCAGTGATCACAGATTTTGACACTGAAATAAAAGGCTAATCGTTGATGAAAAATAACCTTGTCTTCAGTGTTTTTTTGCTCATGTACGTAGAAAACAACCGTTACCTATTGTAACCGCCAGATGGCGCGCTTCACCATTAGAAATAACATACGATTCGACTCGAATTGCTGTTATTTTGAATGGGCATTTGACCACTTTATACACGAAGACACATTTCAGCAGTCCCCGCGTGGCTGTATCTGCCTCCACCATCCACAAAAGAGAAGCAAGTGTCTGAAAGTAACGCGACAGTTACTTTGGGTTTCGAAATAAGCCGGACAGCAAAACAAACACCTGTCTCAGTCGACCTCGATAAAGCCACTTCCTCTTCACCCACATCCTTAACCAGCACATTTTATTGGTGTCAGAGCAGCAGCTGCGCGCCATCAACGCGACTATTTACATAATTCTCCTATACGACAGATTGAGGGACAGAAAGAGTTTGGATCATTTAAAGTGCCCCTGATGCTGTTGCCTAAGCAGAGTTGTTTAACGAGGTCAGTTATGATAAGACAGAGGGATTATGAGGAGGATGATGATGATGGGCGGGATGAAGGGCTGGAGGCGTTGCTCATGCCCTCCTCCTCCTGTAGGGCCAGCAGACAGTGTGAACTTGAACACTGACGGGCACGGCACTGAACGACAGTCAAAAGTCCCGCATCACTGCCGTTTTATGAGATTTCTAGTGTCCGCTTAGTTCTGGTGTAGTTTTAGAGGATCTTCTCTCACTATGTCCAGACGTAAACTCGGCAGCAGACCGCAACACCTGAGCTCAATGCAAGGTAAGCATGATTTAAGACAACTTTATCCACATTCAAACGCTAAAACGCAACATATTTATGGAGAACCGAATATGGATCATGTGGGAGTGTGAGGATGAGAGTACGAGTGATCAGTAACCGATAACGCGTAATCAATGTAATAACTTTTCACGTGGTTTGTGTCTCTCCAGTGCGTGTACAGAACTTGACATTGGAGTTGAAATAATAACTTACCCTCGTGTTTTTATTTGTACGTGTTGCTGACGAGCGTTCAGTATATTATCAGTAGCCATTCCGTGTCAAATTTACATTTACAGGCTGTTTAAGAGATTTTCGGGTTAACGTTAAGTTTCTCAGACACTCTGACCGAGTTGGAGCAATAACATAGCACTTCCTTATTGCATCTTCACAATATCTTTGTTTTGTGTCGTCACTTTCATACCTTAACGTCTACTTCTTACTTTTTCCATTAGGTTTCATTTCATTTACACAAATCCTCATTTTCTGACGGTACTGAACACGTTGTTTTACCCGTTGACAAGTGCGCTTCGTCTGAATATAATTGTTTATTGATATAAATATTTGATATGTAAACATAGTCACCGTAAAACGTGTGCGTATACATATTGCTGTGAAATATTGTTTTGATCATGACAGGATCTTTTTGTTGTTTGTTTGTTTTGTCTTCTCTAACTGTGAGTAGCTGTGCGTGCCTCACCTGACCACAAGACTTGAGTCTAGTTTAATGTGTGTGCGTTATTGTCCGAATCGTGAATGTTCTTTGAGTTAGATTTGTTCAGTGAATCAGTTGAGTGAAGGATTTCACTGACGGGGCTTAAAAGTAAGCTACTTTAAAAACCGAATAGCATAAATATTAAAAATTAAAATTGCTCAAATGTTGGATTTACTTAATTACATTTTTTAACATAGGTTACTAAAAATATTTAATTTGAGATGCAAGTTAATTTTTGTATTGTTTATAATGCAAATACAAATTACATTTAGTTTCTAACTGACTTTGTTTTTATTAGCTAAATCATGGTTACAGTTGAATTGAGACACATTAAATCACAGTAAACATCCACATTAATAGAAAACAGTAATAAACCGCAACAGGTGCCTATTAATGGCTATACTGAACTATTTAGAGCATGTAATATATTCCCACAGCGAGATGTTTTCACGTTATCACGTGGTCCTTGACAACCGCTGAACGCTCGAAAGAACCGATTCACTTAAATGAGTCGGACTTCCAGATACTAATGTGTGTGTGAGAAGAGCAGCCGCGCCTTTTGCGTGTCGGCACAAACAACCAGAGCTGCTGAAACAGGAAAGGTGACATTTTTGAGTAACCACTGGTGAAATCCTCCCTTTCCCGGGACTGTCTGTACCTGCATCGGCATGGACAGCTTAGCCCGGGCAGGTGGATCCAGGCCAGGCTGTAGTGTGTGTGTGTGTGTGTGTGTGTGTGTGTGTGTGTGTACATGTTTTTTCTATACTGGTGGCGACTTAAACCTGAATACACACCAACTCATGGGGACTTGTGTCACCGTGGGGACCTAAATTGAGGTCCCCATGGGTACAGAATCTTATAAATCTTACAGAATTAGATTTTTTTGAGATTGTAAAAATGCACAAAGTTTTCTGTGAGGGGTGGGTTTAGGTGTAGGGCGATAGAAAATACAGTTTGTACAGTATAAAAACCATTATGCCTATGGAGTCCCCACAAGGTGTGTGTCTGTGTGTCTGTGTGTGTGTGTGTGTGTGTGTATGTGTATGTGTGTGTGTGTGTGTGTGTGTGTGTGTGGAGTCCATGATCACAGCGGCACCCAGGCCAAAGGGCAAGTTCCTCTCTGAACTCGATGTCTCAACACAGCCAAGTTAAAGGTGGTCAGAGTAGTAAAATAAGATGTAGTAAAATATGCAGATTTGATCCACCTCAGGTGGCCCTGATGCTGCTTTGCTACTGTGTGAATGAAATGCAGCAACATTGCATCCTTAAACATTGTCTTTATTATTGGAGAGTAGATATATTTTAATGTTTCTATGTTCATGAATTCATTTTAAAAGATTAATTTGGTAATGGAAAAAAATTACTTCTCGTGTATCCGCTGTGCAGCATTATTCAGTTTAAATGCATTTTTTGCAGTATATATATGCAGCTTCTGTGCCACCTTGCAGTATAAAAATAGCATTATATTCACTAAGGGAGAAAATATTAAAGTGACTTCCAGTTTAGGCACAGATACATTTTTAAAAGCTTGTGTTAACCCACTCAAAGTAGGCTTTTTTTCATAGTCTTGGTAGCAAAATCCTGTTTGGCTCAGCTTTGGCCTGGCTAGATTTACATACTGCATCGCTCATTCGCCACAGCGGTTATGAGTGGTGTGAAAGACACCTTGTTTAGATCAGCAGACTTGTGAGCGTGGTAAGACGACTACAGTGCAATGTGCCTGATACATCAGCATGCTCTAATGGGCGAATTGCTCAAGCGGGTCGGAGCTGCATCGCGCTGCTTCCTGTGCAAAGCAGACCTCGGTGGCAGAGACACAGGAAGTGGTCAGTGTCTGCTGACCAGACAGAGCCGTGCTGATGATTACAGTTTAGCAGTACGCCGACGAATGCAGAGAACTGAAAGTAGCACATTAGAAGAGAAACGAGGCTTTTGCAAAGCCACTCACTTCGGTCATTTCAAGAGTTACAAGGGAGTCTCTGAACAAAGAGTGTTTTTACAGATTTTTTTGTGTTCTGCTCACAGATGCTCCGGATTCCACAGTTATCCCCGCCGACTCCTCGCCATCACCTGAGCAGGTGCCTCAGCCTGATGATAGAGGCCGTGACCTGTTGACATGTGGCCAGTGTGGTCAAGCCTTTCCATTGGCCCACATCCTCACCTTCATCCAGCACAAACAGGGCGGGTGCGGCACAGCTAGAGCCAGGCCTCAGGTCCACACTCCTCCCTCTCCGGCCAATCGGACGCTGCGATTCGGCCGAGGAACGCAGGTGGAGGCGGGTTACGTGGAGCTCCAGCGTATGACGGACAAGAGATGGAAGGAAGAGCCAGGTGTGAGGGTGGAGGCCAACCGAGCTGGTGAGTTCTAGGTGCTAATTAGTGTCTCTTTTTTTTTTTCGTAAAACTGTCCCCTCATTTAACGACCTTGTCCCCAGTCCGGCTCATTAGACTGCCGTTGCTGTGGCGCTGAGGCCTTGGTGAGTTCAAGAGTTAGAGACGCCGGGCCTAATTGTGTGGAAGAGATAGGTAGTTCTGCTACACACGCGAGCAAACGTACACTTATACATGCACCCTGGGGGATGGCAGAAAGGCACCTGAGCACACCTGAGCATCTCCTTAGCTCTGTCTCTCAGGTGAAGTGGCCAGGTAAACACAGCACAGTCAGGCCACCAAACTGCAAAACTCCCAGAGCTCTCGCACACACACACACACACTTTCCTCAAACCCCTCATTATTCCAGCACTGTCAGTCAGAGCAGGTGCTGACATGGTGTTATTCCCAGAGTCCTTTGTGAATTGCTTCATTCCCGTCCTCTTATGGCGCTATTCAAAATAGTCTTGAAATTTGATGTTTTTCCCGTTGTTGACCTTGAGTTATGAATCTGTTGCCTGTTGAAGCACCGTACAGTCTTAAAAATAAAGGTTCCAAAAGCAGGTTTTTGCAAAGACTTGCAAAGAACCATTTTGGGTTCCCAAAAGAACCTTTCAGTGAACAGTTCGTAACAGTTTGTTTACTCATCCTCATGCAGTCACAGATCTATATGATTTTCAATCTTCAGATGAACACAAACAATGATTTTTAGAGAAATAATCCATCTCTGTGTGTAGATGAATGCTAAAGTCGACGTTTTGAAAACCACACAAAGCGAACACGTTAATAATCATACGAATCCAGTTAATGAATCAATGTCTCCTGAAGCAAAACATAAATACTAATTAAAGAAAATTAACTGTAAACTATCACTTCCAGCCAAACGGTCATATGCAGGTTTTAATACTTTAACATATTAGTAATCTAAATAACCTTTTTAGAAAATGAAAGTTTCCATGGATGTTGAAGGTTCTCTGTGTAAGCAAAGATGGCAATAAAGAATCTATATTTTTAAGAATGTAGAAGAATTTTGGTGAAACATTGAATTCTTTTGACTTTATGTGTGTGTGTGTGTGTGTCAAAGCTACTTCAGTGTTTTTCAGTGCAGTAGTTGGCCCTAAAGGGAATCGTCGACCTGTGTTGGTGTTTCTCAGCCTGATGTTATTGAACCGTGATCTGAACTGCTTCCTCATATGGGCAGGATTCTCTTACCCTACAGCATGAGCAAAGCAAACATTTATTAGTTTATAATTACAGACTGTTTATAGAGACAAGCAAATGATTATGATTGATCGTTATCAACGAAACATGTTTTTGCTTTCAGGTCACTCCCTCCTGTACGTACACATGTTTGCGCTTCCTTCCTCTTTGTGCTCTGCTTCCGTCTGTCCATGTTTCTTTTTTTGGTGTGAGGTGTATGTTGCTGATAAAGGTGTCAGGGTTGAGAAGTGCAAAATATGCTAATGTGTTACTTCCTCACTGTCAACAGTCTTGGGTTATTATTGACGCAAAGATTTTGAGGCTTCAATGACAGGAGAATGAGAGATGTGGTCTGATAAGGAACTGCCTGAAGTGTAAAAGTTTTGCTTGATAGACCGTTCAAAATGAGTGTGTTATTAGTGTAAGTGAATGATGACTTTTTTAATGGACGGGTCAGGGTTGCCAGGTCTGTAATTTTTTTTATTATTATCAATGTTCAAAATGGTTGTTGAACAGCATTTATTTGAAATAGAAATATTGTAACAATGTAGATGTCTTTACCATCAGTTTTGATCAATTTAATGCATCCTTGCTAAAAGAAGTATTAATTTAAAAAAAAATCTTACTGATCACAGTCTGTAAAATGGTTGCCAATGCCACCCCAAAAGCAAATACACTGAGTACCTAACTATTTTAACTATTTAGCGTTTACATATGTAATTTGTAGGAATAGGGATAACATATGATGTAGGTTACGGCATTAAAAAAATCAAAGTTCATCATAACCATAGAAAAAAAAAAGCCAATGCCTTTTTTACCATATGTATTTTACTTGTGTTTTGTGTAGTTAGATCTATTATGTGACCCTGGACCACAAAACGAGTCATAAGGGTCAATTTTTCGAAATTGAGATTTATACATCATCTGAAAGCTGAATAAATAAGCTTTCTATTGATGTATGGTTTGTTAGGACAATATTTGGCCTGAAAATCTGGAATCTGAGGGTGCAAAAAAATCTAAATATTGAGAAAATCGCCTTTAAATTTGTCCAAATTAAGTCCTTAGCAATGCATATTACTAATCAAAAATGAAGTTTTTATATATTTATGGTAGGAAATTTACAAAATATCTTCATGGAACATGATCTTTACTTAATATCCTAATGATTTTTGGCATAAAAGAACATTTTTGAACTTAAAAATAATTAAATAATTTTGACCCATACATTGTATTTTTGGCTATTGCTACAAATATACCCCGGCAACTTAAGACTGGTTTTGTGCTCCAGGGTCACATATTGGTACCATATCGCTTATCAGTTGATATTAGACTTTGCTTTTAGGATAT